AGACCCATGGAATCCACTTTCAGTTTGAAACCAGTATCAACAACAAAAAAATACTGTGAAGGATACACTGGCATTTTTCAGTTAAAACATGAAGGAGAAGGCTTACCAAGACCTTTAGGTTGGTGAAACAGTCTTGGTTCACCATTCACAATATTTCGCCAATATTCACAATTTTTCCCAGGAATGGTTCTCATTGCTAAGTAATGAAAGCATGCTATGGGCTATCATGTTTCAATATCATGGACCTTCATAATTTAGCTAAAGAATTAAGGTCTTCCTCCTCAAGAAAGGTAGGAAGAAGATCTCCTGAGATACAATTTATAACTTAATCTGGTTTACCCATCCATTCTTACAGGTAGCCAGAGCAAGCCACTTTTCACTGCCACTATTCTGTGAGCCTGAAAGAGTGTAATAAGCCAATGGAATTTAGAAACAGCTACACTCGTGTGACATCAGGAACTAAAACAAATCTCAGCCTTCCAAAGATGATAAGTATGCCAAGGCTGAGCATACAAAGCAATTCTGAAATGTCAACAAAGGTTAAACTTACTGATGATGAGAACAGCAGTTACTCTTCTCAAACGTGCCCAGTATTAGATTGTGTTTTAAAGAACCCTAAATCATCAGTATGATTAGCCTTCCTTCTTTGAAAATTCCTTTAAGAGATTTTAGATGTGTTTCTTTCTACTATAACCTTACATCCATTTTAGTGTGTAATTTCAGAGAACTTTTCAGTTTCAGCACATTCTATGTATCAAATACTTTTCCATATACTGTTAATCTAATGAAAAATAGGATACACTGGCCTGTAGGGAAATATCTGCCAGATGAGTTACAACTCTTCATTGCATTCCCTTTGATGTAGTGAAAGAATGACCTCATAAGGCAGGGAAAGCTCTGCAAATGAAATGTCAGTGATGTTCATTACTAGGTGGGAATACGATTAGAAACACTTGGTATTAATAGTGTGAACATACTCTTCTCTTACATGATGTCCTTTTAATACATTTGGAATTCTCAAGTTAAAACTCTTCCAATGTTTTAAATGAAGTCTGATATGTCTGGGTAACTCTTATAAAACACATTAGACTGATTTTCTCTAGCATATATCAGTATACTATCTTCAGCAAACAATTATCTATCAATATTTGCATAATATACTAAATGCAGAAGAGAAGTTAAAAACCTAAAAAAGGGGCTCTTTTAGAAAAATAAAAGTCATGATTCAGAAAAGTGCTTTTCTCTACTGTCACAATTTAGGCTTAACCTTAAAATTAACCTCATAAATTTATGAAAGACCCACATTTTCATGCTATTCTTTGACTGACTTGGGACTGTAAATGAATGAATATATCCTGCACTCAAGCCATGGAGTTATTTCTATCATGATATTACTAAGTATCATCAGGGACAGGGTAAAGTTAAGAAATCCTTAAGAATTTAATTAGTATTCAAAATGCCTGGTTCACTTTACTTGGCAACTGTAAAAATTAGCTGAAGGGAGTTGGTGACCAAAATGATTTCATGATATGCAAGTAAAATGAGTATATGCATATTTATTTCTTTGAAGCATTATTAGACCTATAAAACATCAAACATGGGCTTATATATAGTGAAGTGGGTGTGAGAAAGCAAATATTAAACATAAATAGTTTAAACCAATAAATTTTTTTCTGGAAAGACTAAACCATAAGTGATGGGGGTTGGGGGTAGGAAAAGAGTGGGAAGAAAGGGCAGATGAAAGCTTCCTTGCTTAATTATTTCTAAATTGTTGTTCAGAGACAAAATTCTCTCTATGCCCAAATTATGTAGTTTATCTGGAGTGTGTAGGCTCCTCCGTTGAGCAACACTGATAAGGACACTAATAGTTTAATTACAACTCACTACTCAAGGAGATAAATAAGGCTGTTTGCTTTTTAAACTAGGGGTTACAATTACTTTTAAACGCCTGGGACAGAAACATCTGTAAGTAGATCTTACTATGTCAGGAAAGCCAGCAGAAACCAGCTGGAAAAGAAAGCCCCAGGAGTGAGCAGCCCGCGCAAAATTAGAGCAAAACCGCCTGATTTGAGCAGTGGAGCAGTGGGCGTAACGCGTAGTAAACAGGCGATAAACATTAAGTGGGCAGGGATAGAAAAGTTTTCGGTGGCCAGATCTTCCGCAGTTCCCGGGGAATTCCATCACGGAGAGTGAGGATCCCTCCTTCCACCCTCAAGCTTACAGTCACATTCCTGTCACAAAGTCCTCTTCAGCACCACAGAGGAAGGACAGCTCCCCTAAAGGAAGAACAGCTCTAGCAGGAACTGCCCCGCCCCTCTACTTTGCTACCCTACCATCTTCACCGCATTTTTCGTTTCACTGGCATCTTCCTGGACACCGCTTTTAGCGCTATTCTCAGGGACAGACGGAAGGCACTGGGAATTTGTTTGGCTTTTTTTTTTTAAACATCGTTTCAGAAAAACCTGTTCTTTTTCCTAGACTCCAGAGCGCAATAAAAGCGCAAGTTACTGGGTTTAATCTGGTGGCAAAATGGTTCAGTGTAAGGCGGTAGTAGTAGCTGAAACTTGAAACCCTTTTTAGTGCTTTATTTTTTGTTGTAAAATTACTAGTAGGAGATAAACAGCCTTTACTAATTGCTGCTTCAGCTCCTTTCCCCCTGTGCTAGCCAAAGCCACTAAGAGGATACACCTGAGTTTGATAGCAAAGGGGAAAACAGAATAAATCCCAATATCACTGGCTCGACAAACAAATCTTGTCCCTGAAAAAACTCCTCTCAGTTCTTTTCAAGATCCCTCACAACATTACTCTGAACCTGGAACATACACATAGAGGATTAACAGCTCCAAAGTGAGACCATAGGCACTAGAGCATACCACAGAAAGCGCCAAAGCTCCCCCCCACCGAAGCCCCCTTTTCCCCAGCCCCAAATCCAGAGGCAAACATTTCATGAGTGACAAGGAAAGGTACAATTAGATAACCAAAATCACCAAGGCAGGAAAATTACACTTTAAGAAACTTTGGCACATCCAGCTGCCATCCCTCCAGTCATAAAGATAGGGTTGCTTAGCGAGCACATCTTGTTTCTCTCTGCAGAGGTGTTTTCTTTTTTTGTCCAAACTTCTTGGTAGTATGTAAAATACTCATAATTGAAGGATCTCTTAGCTGCAGTGTGTGCAAACACACACAGACACAGACACACACACACACAGACACACACAGACACACACACACACAGACACACACACACACACACACACACACACACACACACACACACACACACACACTTTGATTCGGTTCACTTTCAAGGGCTTAGTTTCCTAGAGGAAAAAGGTATCATCTGCTTTTAAAACTTACTTTGAGAGGGTCTTCAGGAAACATGCCCCCACTCTTTTTGCATTAGAATAACTAGAATACCAAGGGACTCTAGAAAGCAAGGGACACAAGCCAGGGTGGGAGCTTAGGAGTCATTCAGAAAAGCAGCGCTCTGAAGTTAGCGGTGACCAACTTCTTCCCAGTAATAGTGACTGTCTACTAGTTATGGGGGTGTGGTCTGCCTGCGAATCTGGAGCAGTAGCAGCAGCAGTGGGGACAGCAGACACTGGGTGCTTTTCAGGTAACCCTGAGAGGTCTCAACTGAAGCAGTTTGACTCTGAATCCCTTTGTGCTCGCTTTCTTTCTTTTCTTTCTTTCTTTTTCTTTCTTTCTTTCTTTCTTTCTTTCTTTCTTTCTTTCTTTTCTTTCTTCCTTTCTTTCTTTTTCTTTTCTTTCTTTTTCTTTTCTTTCTTTTTCTCTTTCTTTCTTTCTTTTCTTTCTCTCTTTCTTCCTTTCTTCCTTTCTTTTTCTTTCTTTCTTTCTCTTTCTTTCTTTCTTTTTCTTCCTTCCTTCCTTCCTTCCTTCCTCTTTCTCTCCTTCCTTGCCTTTCTTTCTCTCCTTCCTTGTCTTTTTCTCTCTCTTTTTCTTTCTCTCTTTCTTTCTCTCTTTCTTTCTTTTCTTTCTTTCTTTCTATCTTTCTTTCTTTCTTTTTCTTTCTTTCTTCCTTCCTTCCTCTTTCTCTCCTTCCTTGCCTTTCTTTCTCTCCTTGTCTTTCTCTTTCTCTCTTTCTCTCTCTCTTTTTCTTTCTTTCTTTCTTTCTTTCTTTCTTTCTTTCTTTCTTTCTTTCTTTCTTTCTTTCTTTCTTTCTTTCTTTCTTTCTTTCTTTCTTTCTCTCCCCTCCCTTTCTCCCTTTCCCCTCTTCTTTCCTCCCACTCTCCCTTCTTCCCTCTTCTATCTCAATTACCCTTTTCACTTAATTCCACTTGAGTCACTTTGGGCACCAGTTTCAGTGAGACCATCAAATCACCTAACATGTATTCTACACACCATGTTTTTATTATTATGATCACAATGGATGCTTGCCAACTGCTTAGTGCAAGAAAAAGGTCCTATTCCCAGCTGTTAACCCCATCCCCCTCCCCCACTCCAACACCACAGTAGTGGTATCAACCCAGCAAAATCACCAGAGTCTCAATGTCACCAACAAGTTCCACCCACCCTGTAGTGGCCTCGCCAGCAAGCCTCACCAGCGGAACCCACAGCCAGCGCACCCAGCTCGCGGTTATTCCTATGGTCATTGTTTTCAGTGACAACATTCTCTTCTCTTCAAGAAGGAGAAAGCCGGCGTGTGACTCCTGGGCGAATGTAGGGCTCCGGGCACTACCCTCCCTCACCTCCGCAACGCGCGCCTGTGCGCGCGCACACACACACACAGACACACACAGACACACACACGCACGCACGCACACACACAGAGACTCACACACACCCTCCTCACACCAGCAACACAAAGAGAGCGAGTGAGCGAGCGCCAGCGCTGGGCTGGGCAGAAAGGGGGCGGGAGTGGGGGCACTGCCAGGAGAGGGAGACCAAGGAGGGGCAGGGCTCTGAGCCAGCCGGCCAGGAGGAAAGGTAGAGAAGGCAGCGTGGTGCGGGAGAGAGCGAGGCGGGAGGTTCGTCCTTACCTGCTCCGAGGTTAAAGGAAATCCTGGCCTCTGCGAGGTACGGCGTGTCGCTCTTGGAGCGGACTCTTCTGATGGGCCGCCGGTCTATATCATCCTCCGAAGATGCCGCCATTAATGTGGGAGGCAGAAGCAGGGTCGCCCGGCGAGCTGAGAGGGAGAAGGAGATGGAGAGAGAGAGGGAGAGAGGCGGAAAGGGGGAGGAGGGGGAAGGAAGAGGCTCACACACATGGAAAGGGGGAGGGGAGAGGGGGATGGGAGAGGAAGGGAAGGGGGTGGGGAGGGAGGGGGGAAAAGAGGGAAAAAGGAAGAAAGAGGGAGAGAGAAAGAAAGAGCAAAGGAGAGAAAAGGGTGAGGGGAGAGAAAGAAAATCCGTTAAGGATTTGTGGACTGGAGTAGAGATCAGGCAGGCTGTCCTTGGCTGGCGCCCAGGGTTCCCCCTAACTCCTCTCCCTGCCACAGGGCACAGGGTCAGTGCTTGGGACTAACACCCTGCCTCCTGCCCGCAGCCCCAGTTTCCAGCTCTTGGCACAGATAAGCTACTGCGAAAGAGAAGACTCCAAAGCAAAGATGCTCAGTCAGCACTGTGCCCTCTCCCGCCAAATGCACTTACTCTGCTCTTCCAGTGTACACTATAGTCTCCTTAACCCACAGATTCTCTAGTCCAGCCAGACATACCTGCCTTAGCTTTCCTTGCATGGAATAATTACTCCTGGAGTATGAGCTAGGCCCAGGTGGCCATAGAGGAGGTAGCCCTCTGCTCCCTCTTTCCCAACCCAGAGCTCAAACAGAGATGGAGCCAGATCAGAATTCTCAGCTTTCCCTACCCCCACCGCCCTTGAACCTTGGAGACGGAGGGCAGACGAAAAGTGTATACAAGGTTTAAGAGCAGTTTGGCAATAAAGTTTCTAGAGCTGGTGTTTTGAATGTAGAATAGGCATGTTCACACAGAGTTGAGTAGCTCTCTTTTACAACCATTAACTTCTATGATGTGTTTATCTTTCTATAAACACCCATTCATTTAACCTTCAACTTTCTCTTTCTCTGCTGACTTGGAGCACAGATTATAGGCCTTGGTTTGGACCTGAAGTCTTTATAACCCTGTAACATTGTTTCTGAAGGACAGGTGAAGATCAAGGGCACTTTATATTTTTTTGAATATTTGCATTATTGCCTTCATGGGTCACATAGCAGAAGGACCTAGAAAGGTTTCTGGATTGATGATTCTACTGAAGCTATTGATGGGCTAAACTCTTATACGTTTGTCTTTCTGCAGTTTCAGGCACTTGGACTTTTTGTGGCCTGATGTTTTTTCTAATTAGAGCCCACTTCGTGTACACAGATAAATGTTACCTTGTTCTCTCCCTGTTACAAAGGAAACCTCTGTTAAGTTATGCCCTTCAGTTTTAGAGGAGCGAGTGCTCCTCTGACTCTGCAAGACTTCCCTCTCCACTTCAGCTGTCAGTTCTAACTCTCATCGTGTATTTTTGCATCCTAGTATCTTCACTCTCTCTTCATTGCTCTCCTAGTTCACATATAGGTAGTAACTCTTCATCATAGGGAAAAAGATGTTTGCTCTTGGCCTTACTGCTTCCTCAATCTTTTCCACATTACTTCCTTCCTATTCTGTTGGACATTCCTCTGGATCTCTTGGTTCATTGGTTTAATATTTTTCACCCTCAATTCCCTCCTCTCATTGTTACAACTGGTTTCTATCCCCACCTTCCAATCAAAGTTATTTTAGAGGTCATTAACACCCTTCTAACAGTTAAATCCATTTCTTTCTTAGCCTCTGTAAAATATGTTGTAATCTATCCTTCTTGAAATAATTTAATTTGGCCTTTCTGTACTAGACTAATTCCCTGACCACTTGATTTCTAATTATTAGTCAATTCTCTGCAATAATTTGAAATTGCTTGTCCTGGCATTCAACGCCCTTCACAATCTGATTTCAACCTATTTTTCCAAAGTAATCTATTATTTACCTCCAGCCTGCTTAGAGTTCTCCTAACAAGTCTGGCTTACTTATGCACTTATACTTTTGCTTGTTTTGCACACCACAAATTTCTTTCCTATAAACTTTCCTTGATCTCCCTCAGGAACGTGAGATAACTGGCCCAGTAGTCTATGGCATGAACCCAGTAAACAGTAAATGCTCAAAATATTTTTAATTGAATAAAAAAGGGAAAAAAAGGGACAAAGAAAGGGAAGAAGAAAGCAAAAAAGAGGAAAAAAAGGAGTGAATGAGGGTTACATAACTATGAGTAGCTGAATTGGGGGCCAAACTCATCTGTTTGATTTTAAAACCTGTGTCCTCAACTAATATATTGATTTGCTAAGTATCTACATTTGGTTGACTAGACACATTTTAAATTCACTTTTCTATGACTCTTCATTACTATGTGCCATTTATCTCTGTTAAACATAGATTAAAAATGGACATCTCCTGTCCCAGGAGGCACAACAGGGGTATTTGGCTCATCAAATGAGCCATGACTAATCAGGCTACAAACCAATATTATGACTGCAACATTTATGTTCAGGTTTTTAAGGAATTACAATAGTAAGGAAGTAAAATCAATCAACTCTAAATACTGTATAAACTATCCCTCTCTTTGAATTAATGTGGTGCAATTTGATTGCTTAAAATGTTTGGGATTCCCTACCCCTTATATGTTTATTCATCAGCCATGTCTCTAAAATAAGTAATAAAGTCACTTGAAGGAATACAATTATGCCCAGCCTTATCTTTCCATGTGTTTCTTTGATTTTTTGTTTATTAATGATTCTTGATATAGAGAAACACATCTTTGGATTTCTCTTTCTTATTTGTTCAACATTATAGAGGATTAAGAACTTAATATTACTACCACTTCAGGTTTCTCTTTCTTCAAAGGAATTTAAATGCATTTTATATTATTTCATTATGGCCTATTTTATTATTTGTAGATGGAGATACTTAAAATTTTTTATCCTCACCTGAGGATATTTCCATTGATGAGGGAGAGAGGAAGAAAGAAGAGAAGAGAAGAGAAGAGAAGAGAAGAGAAATGGGACCAAACCTGCAACCTAGGTATGTGCCCTGAAATTAAACACACAACATTTTGGTGCACAAGACAATTCTCCAACCAACTGGTCCATATCTGGCCAGAGCAGATATATATATGAAATTTACAAAAATAACATAAAATACTACATTTGTCTTCATGTTCTTCAGTTGTTTTAACATATTTTCATTTTTTGACTATGATCTTCCTTTTTTAGGCTCTCCTGACTTACTGTCTCCTTTGTCTCATCTAATTTTTTTCCAATCCCTTTTTACATTGTCTATCTTTTCTCACATTTCACTTAGTTCTCTCTAACAGTTGCTTTCCAATGTCAGTCCCATTTCATTTACTATCTCCCTTTTATCCTATATGAAGGATTTACATTTGTGGGCTTGTTCCAATGTTTCCACATTCTTTATGCAGTAGGATTCTTTTCACATACAGTAACTCTTATTGTAAAACACCTGGCTGAGTGATATCAGGGAAGAGCCCTGCAGGGGGAATCAGTACTACCACCACCACCAACTAACATTGGACAAGCCACTTGCTTTACCAGGATGGGTCCCAGTCACCTCAGCTATAAAAATGGAAGGATCAGACAAGTGATCTTAAGACCCTACCCAGTTCTAATACTAATATTGGCAGGTATTCTTGTATCTCTACACTTTCTATCAGTGTCCACAGAGTATTTTGCCTCTTAATCTAAGAAATACATTGTTCTTTTGATTTATAACTAATCATATTTAGGAAATCACATAGTATCCATTCTTCCCTCAAGTAATTTTATATTATTCAAGTCTATTTTAGGTAATTGTGCATCCTTCAGAATCTATTTTTTCTCATGCTATTTCTGTCATGAGTCAACACCCATATGATTGTTTGTGTGTGCACATGTGTGAATGTGGGTGTGTGTACAGAAAAACGGAATTCAACTGTGACCACAACAACTTCAAACTATAAGGTTTTTTTTTTTTTTAAGGTTGCAACATGATTGCTGACTCGGCTGTGTTATACTTTTCTTTTCTAAAATTAGTCAACTTCTTAATACTGAAGATCCTTACATGCATGTTATATTCAGAGATAGAGCCAGAGAAAGAAACACAGCACAATAGGGTGCTCAAACAAATAACATATTATACATACGTCATGGTCATAAAAGAGGATGGAGGTGGAAAGGAGGAGAAGGAAGACTGCAATATTCCATTCTAATCAAGAAAACTCTTCAGATGAGTAAAGTTTATCCTTTAAAAATATTACTCAAATTGTGTTTGTAGCACACCCCTATATCAATATCACTTGGAATACTTGTTAAAATATAAATTTCCTGGCCCCAACATGGATCTATTAAATTCTGAGGGGATGATACCTGAGTGCCTAGCTAACTATGTCCACTCTCAGTACTTGTACTTAATGTTATATTTGAGATCTTGGTCAGGTCAATAAGTACAAGCAATTAAAAAGGCATAATGTTTGGAAAAAAGAATAAAACTATAATTAGTCATATATATAATGACTGTGTACATACAAGAGCCATAAGAATCCAGGCTATTTAAAATGAGTGAATTTTATAATATCATTGGATATAATAGCAATGTAAAAGTATCAATTTTGTTTCTACACACTAGCAAAATTAGAAAATGCAATTTAAAAAGCATCATTTACAATAGCATCAAAGCCATCAAATACCTATAGGTAGATCTAACAAAATATGAGCAATACTTCTACATGAAAAACTACAAAGCATTCCTGAAAGAAATTAAGACCTAAATAAATGGGAAATGTGGTGAATATATGCTCATGTTCATGACTTGAAAGACATGTTATTGAAAGTCATCAGTCTATTCAAGTTGATCAATAGATTTAATGAAATTTCAATCAAAATTCCAGGGTTTACTCTTAATTGACAAGCTGATTCTAAAATATACAGGAATATTTACAGGAACAAGACTAGCCAGGACAATCTTGACAAATAAGAAAATAGAAGATTTATGGGAGAAGATATATATCTTATATATCAACAGATATATCAACATTTATAAAAAAGTACAGAATTCAAAAACAAAGTAGAGGGATGGAAGAAAATAGAGAATCTATTAAAAAGTG